GCGCAAAGGCCTAGTTGCGCAAATGACCCAGCTGCCCAAAAAATTAGCCACCGCCAAATGGTCGGCTTTTTTTCGCTTACAAATCTGGTCCTGTTATAGCTACCATCTTTTTACTTTTCATACGCTCTCAAATTTTCATTTATCGTCTCCAGCTCCTTTCCATTTCTTTAAAAAAGCTCAAATTTCATCAATATATTCTTTTTGAAAAGCTTTTATCCATTTTAGACTTTTTTGTATGCATGTTTTATGCAAATTTTGTTGTAAATAGCAACAAAATACTCCTCAAAAGTCTCTCAAAATAGAGAAAAATGACAAAAAAAGGGAAAACGAGGGAACAAATCAAAAATGACGATCAAATTGAAACGTCTTTTAACTCTGAACTCATCGAATCATCATCGGTTTGAGAGAAAATCGGGGAAATAGAGAGAATTGGGGACTTTTTTTTGAAGGCAATGCGACTCTTGTAATGACATTTGCCCTCACCAATCGAACTTGTTTACATTTCGAAATCAAAATCCTTAAAAGTTACGAGTTTCAGCGCACCTTATAGTCCAAAGCACACTTTAATGTAAACGCTAGCTCTCCAGCGTATCCTAGTTCACTTTTTTCTGTCAATCTTGTCAAGCGCACTCGCGTTTGTTGGTTAAAACCAGCAAACATTGTTGGTTTTAAAGCCCTAAATCTACTCTGAACCGTTCTAGCGTTTTTCCGTGACTTTACAATTGACAAAAAACGAAAAGAAGAAAAAGACAAAAAAAAAGACAAAAAAAAAGACGAAAAAAAGACGAAAAAGAAGGAAAAGACAAAAAAGACGAAAAAAGAAGAAAAAGACAAAAAAGATATTCAGTTATTCAATTGAAAATTTATTTGATAAAAGTGCTTGCCTAAATATAAATTTTCCTTTCTCGCCAACCTTTGAAAGATATTCAGTTAATTTATTAATACCCAGCTGATTAACTGAATATCTTGAAAAGCATGGTGATTCAAAGTATTTAAAAGGTCGATTGGGACTAAAATTGGGCGGGGGCTACTTTGCACCAAATTTTTTGCGCAACTCGCCATAACTTTCTTCTAAGTCGGTCAATCTTTATCATTTTGGTGTCATTTTGTAGATCTCAACAATGACAATAAAATGACACCAAAATCATAAAGATTGGTCGACTTAGAAGAAAGTTATGGCGAGTTGGGCAAAGGCCTAGTTGCTCAAAGGCCTAGTTGCCCAGCTCGCCATAACTTTCTTCTAAGTCGGCCAATCTTTATCATTTTGGTGTCATTTTATTGTCATTGTTGAGATCTACAAAATGACACCAAAAGCATAAAGATTGGTCCACTGAGAAGAAAGTTATGGCCAGTTGCGCAAAGGCCTAGTTGCGCAAAGTAGCCACCCCCAAAAATTGCTCTTAAACTCGTGTTTTTCTCAAAAACTCAATGATAACGTTATTTTCTAATAGCTAATTTCTAATTATTTCTAATTTTTTCTATTATTTCTAATGTTTATTCTTGGTCAATGATCAAAATACGTATTTTAAGTGGCACAGAAACGTGAGAAAGTCATTTCTATATGCCACTGCTTTTTCAAAGTAATCCTACTACGGTAAAGCAATAAAAAGTGCAACTAGTGCAACAAAAAGAACAACTTTTCAATATCTCAAGCCATACTTTTTTTATTATCCATTTTTCCTCGAGTAAATTCATTCCTTTGTGATTCACTCAAATCACTAAAAAGAAGAGGAGAGAAAAGTGAACGAGCATTTCTTTTTTTTTTCCATTTCCATTCCCATCTTCTCAAAGGTGATCTTGAATCAAATTACCCAATCAATGCAATCATTTGCCAATCGAATCACCCAATCAACAAAATGGACAAGTCATGCGAGAGTCTGCTGGTCAAAAGCGGTGTTTTTGAAATTTCTTTGATCACTTTGATTACTTTGATTACTTTGATTTCTCTGATCAGTGGCCTCTATTTTGAGAACTATAGTTATAATAGTTTGAAGAAAGAGGGGTGTTTTAGAAAATGGATTTGTAAAAGTTGTGATTAAAGTTCTGTTTTCTCTCTTTTTCCCAAGAAATCTGAGAATTTGCAAAAAGCATCAACCGCAGCCGAGACCGAACCCGGGATGCTCAGAGCGAGAGACCGACGCTCTGGCACTTTACCACAGCCCCTTTCAAAAGACCTCGAGGAGTAATTACCCAACTTTTAAGTGAGCAACATTCCTTTGAAACTAGACTGAAAGCTGGATTCTTATGTACTTTGTGCTCACCTGTAAACGCATCTTTTCTGGCGCATTGGACTCCTTTTTTCTCTTGAGACTTGATTTCAAAGAAAAAAATCAAGGACTTGGTTTCAAAGAAATGAAGAATTCTGTGCGCTAGTAGGCTAGCGTTTACAAGTGAGCACAAAGTACATCACAAAGAACAAGATTTAAGAATGATAAGTAACAAAGAAAACTTTGAAAACTTCAGCTCTGAATCTGAGTGTTGGACCTCCCAAGGAGAGTTTCTCCAAAAATTCCTTTGAAAAAGGTCAAAGAGGGTGTAAAAAAAGTCCCTCTCCAAGTCCGACACCCATTAAAACAGGGGAAAATGGAAAAATGGAGGAAATCTCTAAGAAAATTTCAAAATGTATCAAAAAAAATGGCATAAAACGGTTCAAAATCGTCTACGATCAGCAAAAAATTCAATAAAATTTCAGTAGGAAATTCTTTTTTTGTCTTTCCGACACAACTTTGATGGTCGGGTAAAGATGGGAAATTTTTGTGACAAATTGGGAGTTTGGTGAAGAAATTCGGTCATAGAAGCTGTTAAAATCGATGTAAAACTGAAAAGATGAGAGCAAATTGAGATTTAAAGTCAGATAAACAAAGATATGGCTAAGATCTTCGCGTGATTCTTTAGATTAGCTCCAGATTTGGTACAAGATCGTATAGATCCAGCTCAAGTCTGTACTAGGGTTAAATCAGCTTAGGTTTTATCGTAATCCTTTAAATTTGGCTCGCGTCGATGCCCGCTAAGTGTAGATCCAGTTAAGTGTAGATCCAGAGCAGGCCTAGATCCAGAGCAGGCCTAGATCCAGATCAAGCTAGATTTTCTAAAAAAGCTAGTCCAAATCCAATTCAAGCCAGTACTAGAGCTAAGCCTAAGATCAAACCAGCTCTAGAACCAGACCCCAAGCCAGGCTAGGCCAGGTCTGGGTTTACGATTAAATCCAGCTTTAAAACCGGGCCAAACCTAGAGCTAAACCGAAACTATCTAGAGTTAGACCAAAACGACCCAACCTCACTAGAAATGCTTTTCGATTTGCACCAGGCTTTTAAACCTAGACAGAGTCTCTCTGGTCCAGTTTTTACCCTAAAATTGTTTAGTTAGAATTTCCACCTCACTAAACACAAAAAAAAACAAGAAAATACCTGCAGGAGGATTCGAACCCATGAGGTAACGAACTGCGACCAAGCACGCTAACCGGTCGGCTACGACCACAACTGTTCTGACCAGCGCAAAAGCCATTTCCTTATCCATGGTCAAAAAAAACTCTGTGTAAACTTTGAAGCTGAAGATCTTGCGATTTTCAACACATCATCTCCAAACGACCTAGATATTCAGAATCAGCGCAAAAAATTGCACCAAACTATATCTTGACTCAAGCCAGGTGTAAATCAAAAAGCATCCCTAGTCAATCCAAGCAAATACCGCAAGAAAAGCCAGCCCTACTTGCTTCTATAAAACACAAACTTCTGGCCAGTGCATAGTAATGAAAAGTTTAAATCTCATAGAAAAAAGAGCAAGAGACAAATGTCAGTGAAAAAGCAGACCCGGAAAGGCGAGCAATGAAACGATAGAAAAATGTGGGTGAAGAAGTGGCGGGTCAAAAATATAGAAGAGTTGAGGAGCCTGGTTGAAGGGGGGCTCAATCGCAAATCGGAATGATAAATCGGCCCTGGGAGGGGCTGGGAGAGGCAGGAAGGGGACTAGGAGGGGTTACTGGCCAGGGTCCCCCTCCCCCCGGGGCAATCCCTTGTTTGATAGCTCGAGCACAGAAGACCCAAGAAAAATTCAACTCCTTCAACCCCGGAAAAAGTCATTCCTCATCTAGCCCAGCGCCATCTCACATTCGACTCAAAAAAAAAATTGAACTTCAACTTTTTTGCAACCGAGCTTAATCGGCTTCAGGGGAAAGTATAGGTCGACTAGTTCAATGTATATGGAAATCTTTTCTAAGTACAGCGAACAAATAGAAAGAATCACCGCCCACTCATCAAGAAATGAGAAGCCACCAGCTCTTTTTTTTCTCTTCCCCACCTCTTCAAGTGCCGTTCCGATTGCGGGGGAAATGCAAAATGAACGGGTAGATTGTGAGAAAATATCCACCCAAAGAAACAATTCGAATTTTTACATTGCACCCATTTTCCAATGATCGCCTTTTAGAAAGGTATTTAGGTCGACACCTAATCAAGACTACTTTAGAACTACAGGTATTACGGTAGATATGTCAATGCTTTAGGGACGAGTCAAAAGTATGAAATTTTGCTAAAAAAAATTCAAAGTATTCTGATAAAGAGAGGACCCCGCAAAACATTCGCCCTGGGGGAATTCGATGCGTGTTTGTGGGATGGTCGAATGATAGCTGGGACACAATGATAAATGATCTTATGAAGAAGGTCCCTTTTGAGCACTTTAGACGATTCTTGATCAAAAATGTACTTCATTTGCTTTAAAGCTCTTGGCTTTGAGTGTTTAGAAGTCGCTGTTTGTGCATTCTCAACCCAAAACAAGGATAAATAACTTTTAGCCCAAGAAGACATAAAACAACAACTTTAACAGACATAATTTTCCAATTATCAAAAAAATAGCACAAAGAAATAAAGGAATGTTGGAAAATTTAGGACTCGAAACGATGAAATGACTGAACAATCCCAAAAATTCCTATTTAAAGAAGAAACAAAACGAACAAGTGATGAATTCAAGTCAAATACTGCTGATGTCGGTTCTTTGTTGTACTCTCAATCGCTTTCCTCATCATCGTCTTCAGCAGCTTTCTAAATATCATATTACTTACAAGAATAAATAAAACTGCCCACTTTATGTCCTTGGCTAGCCTCTTGTTCATCCAACTGCTGATCCAAACCCTTCGGAGCGACGAGACCATCATCGTCCGCCTCTTCTTCACTCTCATCCTCGTCGCTCTAAAAAATTAAATGGTTTAATTGATTTATAATTAATGCGTACGCCTTCCTCAGCTTCCTCTTCTTCAAGCATTTCTCGCCTCTTACGCATCTCTTCATCCTCGAGATCACTGATAACGCGAGCCTAAGTGAAGTAAACAGTATACAAAGAGGAATTTTACCAAACTACCTCTTCTTTGATGGTGAATTTCCCGCCGTGTTTCTCGATGGCCTCCTTGACCACATTGAGAGCGTTGTTGACAGCAATTAGACCATCGTCTTTTTCCGTTGATTGGGCGGTCACGACAAAGAGTGGAGCGGCGATCAAATTAATCTAAAATATCTCGATTAAAATCCTTAAAATTTTCAACAACCTTAATCGGCATCGCTTCGGTGGAACAATTCTTGCCTGCTACAAGCGCTTCTTTGATAGCTTCAATACCATCATAGGCAAAACAGGTGACCTCAATATCGGCACGGATTTTGACAGCCTAAAGAAAATGTTTGTATTTTCATAGCGAAAACATGGTTACCTGTGGCGTAAGTTTTTTCCTAATGTCTTCTAAGAGTTTCTCCTTGATATCATCCGAAATATCGCATTCATCAAGCACCGTTGGGTCTCTAAAGTTCAAAAAGGTCTTTAGTTGGCGTTGTAAACTTACTGAATAGCCTTCTTGAAAACATCGTGACATGCTGCCTTTCTTCTTTCCTTCTTGTCAAAGTACCACGCTGTTCTAAATCAAATGATGCTTGTAATAATAAATACACATACTTGTTGTAAAGATCCTCAAGTTGCTCATCTTTTGTATATCCAAGCTGATCGGCGACATGACGCAAAATACTGTTGACAGCTTTTGCCTAAACAATAGAGATTATTTTTTAAACCTATGAACCAGTCTATCTATGAATCTATGAATCTACGCCAAACCTTTTAAATTTGCTAGTTTACCTTTGCAAATCGTTCTTCACATTGTATCAAATCCTTTGCATAAACGCGCCGTTTTGAAAGGTCAATGTAGCCTGAACGTTGAAGGCAAAGTATAGCCAAGATAATTTGTACGCTCAAGTGCTTACTTGCAAGCTGTAGATAAATAATTTATACCTTTATCTTTATCGACTCTGATCACCACCACACATTCGTTTCTTCCAACTCGGATCAACTTGTTCACCTTAATTTTATTGGTTAGTAATGACACAAAACATAATCTATGTTCACTCACAGAGCGAATACGCCGGCGCGAAAGTTCCGAAAGCAGAATCATTCCTTCTAAAACAATCAAGATTTTTCAGTTTCTCAAAGTTGATTGTAACTAAATTTCTCACAGTACGGTTAAAGCCACCTTTCCACAGTATTGAGTGCAACACAAACCAACCTTTATTGTTGTATTCGAGAAGACGAACATAGGCTCCCATCTCAGCCACTTGTCGAACATTGGCCATGACCGTGTCATCCACTAAATTTAATTTGTTTATTAATAAATAAACAAACAAATACAAACCTTCGGGGAATTCCTCGGCGTAAAACCGACACGATAACATCCTAAAATTGAATTAAAGTTGACGGGATACCATTGAATAAGGTTTGAAAAAGAATATCGAAACAATCATCGTTTCTGACAGGGCAACCTAACCGGCCTCAACTCTAGTTTAAATGCGCAAAACCGCAAATATTCTTCTGATCTTTACAAGAATCAAGAGAACAAAAAATGATCAAAGCTTTATTGGTAACATTAAACGAACAACAAAGAAAACAATTGAAGAAACACAATGACCTAAATCTACTACTACATATATTTTCTAATTAAAAAGACAAAATCTAAAGGTAGAACAAACAAATTTCAACACCGTAGACTGAAGATCAATTGAGTCAAGAAAAACTTGCAACATTACGAGCCCATGAAATTATTGAGCAGGAAGATTGAATAACGTGTTTTGTTTGCCGGGCAAAAACACAACGTTCTTCGACCCGGTCATTTGCTTGGCGATTTCTTCGGCGGCTTCAATCTTTCGTAGCTCCACAAGCCCTTCACCAGCCTCAGCAAAAGCCTAGAGCAAATAGATAAACTTTATATCAAACGATCGACTACCTTAGCAATAAGGCGCGCGGCTTGGGCGTCACCTTCAGCCGAAGTAATTGCGGCTATTTTCATCTGTTCGGCTTTCTCCACAAGATATCTAAACAAAGTAGTTATCTAACACAAGATATCTAAACAAAGTTAGCCTAACAACTCGACAAACCTAGCTTTCTCAGCGTCTTGTTGAGCGACTTGCTTAGCCTCGACGGCCTCTGTGAATTCGCGTCCAAAGCTAAGATGGGTCTAAATGGAAAAAAAAAGTTAAAACTGGCAATTGAGATTACGCACAATAGAAATATCGTCCAAAAGAAGTCCGAATTGAGCAGCACGCTGGCAAAGTTCGACGGAAACACGTTGAGAGACGACTTCTCTCTGTGTAATCATCTCGTGCGCATCAAATTGAGCCTGAGAGAAAAGAAAGTTTGAAACTAGGAGATTGTACATACCACAACAGCCTTCAACACTTCATTGGTGATTGAAGGAAGGACACGTTCTGCGTAATCGAGACCAATGTTCAGGTAAATGCTTGGTAGTTTCGCTGGGTCGGGTCGGTGAAGGATTCGAAGTGTGATCGTCACATTTTGCAAATCTAAACAAAAAATTAACTTGGATTGAGTGCCCAACTTTTAATCTGTTCTAATCCGTTACATCATGTGACTTATCAATTGTTTTAAATGTTTCAAGCCCAGAGGATAATACTGGGATTTAAACACCCAGCACCGAAGTAGCCTGACATCCAAAGGACATACTTTAGCTCCTGTTACATACACCGAATCATGTTTATGATGATAGGGCGCCAAGACAAGAGCAATGATAAACCGCACCAGATGGTGTCAAACAGTTTCGCACATTGCAGTAACTAATTTAAGTGTACGCTCTATTTTAGCTCTTGGATCCAAGTTAAAAGTTACCTTTGGATCCAGTAATTGTCGAGATGGCTCTTGGTGTCGATCGGATGTCGAAAACGATCGGCTTTTGGACCCATGGAATGAGGAAATGAGTTCCCTCGCCCGTCACCTCGTCCTTCACTCCTGAGAAACGATCGAAGATCACAGCTCGCTGTCCTCCATCAACTAAAAAATAAGATTAGTATGAACAACGGATTACGCTAACTTTAACAGCATTAAAGAATCAAATTAAGAACCAGTCACAAATCAAAGCCAATAAAACAAAACCGTTGTATAGAGCCGTTTGGGCTACACCTCCACCAATTGCAATGGCGACTCCCAACGAGCCGAGACGTCCCAAAATCTTCTGAGCGGCGGCAGCCATTGATCTAAAGAGAGTACAAGAAAAGTCTAGAAATAACTAGAGAACAAAAAGTAGACAAGTGGCTGACTTTAACGATGACGCTCTTAAAAGCTTGGAAGCTACGCAAGCAAGAAATAATGGGCAAACTCTAAACGTTAGCATAAGAAAGGAAGGCCGCGCAAAGTTGTTTCCATAGCATTTTCAAAGTTCAAATGGCTTTTGGTCGTTTTTCAACGGGTACTTTACAGATAACGCAAAGTAGAGAACCAGGTAATCAATGATAACCCTAGCTTGTTATCGCTCGTTACCCGGCTAATCTCTTTTGACACATCCATTAATCATAAGGTACCTTAAGGCTGGTACTCGCCAAAAGCACAACTCTAACAAAAACTAAAGCGTAAAATTTTTTGACCAACTTTTCATCATCAAATATTTGCAAAGATGATAAACAGCACTAGCCGCTACCGTACACCTTTCGTGGCGGGATACGCGTCGGGAAAAAGTAACCCTCCAAACGAGATTTATTCATTTTCACAAAAGTTTCTAGTTTTCTAGTTTTTCTGATTTTCTCCAAACTTTAGAATTTTAAACCGCGAATTTTTTAAATCTGCAAGGTAATTTCCATTTTCTTGGTTGCGATAAGTTCCCGGCCTTTCGGCAAGCACGTCTAAATTACTTTAGCCCTTAACTTAATATCATCTTTTCCCCTAATCGTTTCAACTTCTATTTTTTTTATTCAAGCATTTTACCATGTTCTTAATTTTTATTCTTTAGGGTAAGATGGCTACTGGGCTGCGGAAGACGAGAAAGTTGAGAGGACACGTCTCGCACGGTCACGGACGCATCGGAAAACACAGAAAGCACCCCGGAGGTCGTGGATTTGCTGGAGGACAGCACCATCATCGCATCAACCGAGACAAGTACCACCCTGGATACTTTGGAAAGGCGAGGCTTTTGAGTTATTTGTAAAATAGAGCGTACACTTCAATTAGTTGCTGCAATGTGCGAAACTGTTTTTGAACTGTTTGACACCATCTGGTGCGGTTTATCATTGCTCTTGTCTTGGCGCCCTATCATCATAAACATGATTCGGTGTATGTAACAGGAGCTAAAGTATGTCCTTTGGATGTCAGGCTACTTCGGTGCTGGGTGTTTAAATCCCAGTATTATCCTCTGGGCTTGGAACATTTAAAACAATTTATGGAACTCAAGATTCAAAAAATGTTTCATGCTTACTAATTCTTTTGGTTTAGGTCGGAATGAGAAACTACCATCTTCGCAAGAATCACTACTTCTGCCCAACTGTCAACGTCGACAAATTGTGGTCACTCGTCCCAGAAGGAGCCCGTGAGCAAGCTGCCGGTCCCGCCAAGGCTCCCGTTATCGACTGTGTTCAAGCAGGATTTTACAAAGTAACCCCTTTACATGGAGATATTTATAACGATTTGTTTAGGTTTTGGGAAAAGGACTCCTACCCAAGCAGCCACTCATTGTCAAGGCGAAATTCTTCTCTCATTCGGCTGAACAAAAAATTAAGGGCGCCGGTGGAGCATGTGTTCTTGTTGCTTAATTTGTTGAAGTTAAATAAATATTTGGTTTTGTTTTTATTTTGCCCCGAGAAATTCGTTCCCCCGGTATAGAATACCTCGTTATTTGAACCGTGTATATTTAAGGTCTTTAATGTTGTGCTCTTAACTTTCATCTTTAGGTGTTCTGAGTGTTTGGTTCTCACCTGAGCTAAGGCTTACAGCGACTTTACATAAAGAACAATGGCATCAAATGAGGAACTGGGTGCGAGTTTGAAGCTACGAATACTGAGATATATTTTAGACAGTGAAATGATGGCTTAGACTTGGCTATATAAACTATCTACTCTTTAGCTTGCGTCTACGCTGCTCTCATCCTTCAAGACGATGACGTAGCCATTACTGGAGACAAAATCGCCACCCTTCTCAAGGCCGCCAAGGTTGAGGTCGAGCCCTATTGGCCTGGACTTTTCGCCAAGGCACTTGAAGGAGTTGATGTCAAGGTAAATCTATCAGTTACACCGCAGTAAATAATGACTATTTTTAGAACTTGATCACTTCTGTCTCTTCCGGCGCAGGATCCGGACCAGCCCCCGCCGCTGCTGCTTCATCCGGAGCCCCAGCCGCCGCCGCTGCCGCACCAGCCGAGACAAAGAAGAAGGAGGAGCCCAAGGAGGAATCCGATGACGGTATAGATATTAAATCGTGACTAATAACTTTTTACCTTCAGATATGGGATTCGGCCTCTTCGACTAAACAACGACACTTAATGCTGCTTTGTTTGTTATGATAAATTGTTTTGTTTTTCACTGTTGCTCTTTAAATGAATAGCAAACTATGTTTCCGCGGATGAAGCGACGGCTTTGTGGAAACAGTGTACGACGGTTTCAAAAAATGTCAAAAGGGGAAACATCCTCATTAAGTAAAGAGGAGGTACTCGCACGTCTAATTTGTTTTTGTACGCTCTGGATGCAATACGTAAATGTAGGCAGCAACGGCATTTGGAGTTGAAACCGGACACTGCCTTTCTTAGTTTTTAAAGAGCCATCATCGTTCCGCACTGAGCTCTTGCACCATCTCGATAATGGGCACTGCGGATTGGCAAGTCTTCTTGAGTTACTAGGTTGAGGAAAAAGTCCTGACTCGGCTGCGAAAAGTTCAGTTTTTATTCTTTACTTTAACAAAAATAACAATTATTCCTTAAAGTATAACCCATCATTATCTACGACTTTCTGCCATCGATCTACAAGCTTTGGCCTCTGATCGAAGTACCACTCCTTCGGTTTCGAATCAGCATCGCAAATCTCTTCCACGGCATCTCTTGTTGAAAGTTTCCGTTTCCAGCAATAGCGGATCAAAACTCGAAGCGCCTTTTCTTGCAAACTCATCTGGAATACAAACATCAACATTGGTACAACGCTATAGGCGCGAAAAACCAGCGCAAAGTGCATACAAATTTTTCGCAGCTGAGTCAGAACTTTTCCCTCAACCTAATACATCAACATCCCGTTATACCATTCAAACTCTTTCATTTTATAGTTTTTTTCAATTCGATGGTGTTAATTGGCCTGCTAAAAATGAGTTTATTTCTCGATCCACGTGGGAAATATCATCACAAGATTCGAAAAATTATGGTAGAAGCAGAGAGTAAACACACTTCGGAAAGGGACCAACAGGTAGGAGCTCACAAAAAATTGGTCTCGGGAAAGACGGGCTAAAAAACCTCTCAGCATATTGAAAAAGGGAAATGGGAAAAACGTGTATCTAAAAATCAATTAAACGTCTCAGTCAATATAGCCATTTAAAAACTTTGATAACGACATTTTCATAGCCTAAACACTTTAAAGAGTTAAAACGACAAAAATGGAATGGACCGGCTGAATGAAGAAATTGTAGAGACTAGCGATGACGGGCTTTCACAAGAGGACACAATTAGAAAATACCTGAAAAGAAATAGCCTAAGATAAAGCTAGAGCTCCTGACAAAACAAGATCAACAACAACCAAAAACAGAATTGTAGCTAGAAAAGGACCGGTATTGAGATGCATGAGGTGTTTTATTGTTGCTGACATTGCATCCCGCGAGACTGGCCTCCGCCACCAAAGCCTGGTTCATCGTCATCAACCTGAAAATTTATACATTGTAATAATTAGTAGACAAATACAAACAATCAAAAAAATTAAGTACCTCCATGAACATTGGGTGCCCGTGTGCGTGTCCACCGTATCCTCTACCATTCTCCTCCGCCCGGATGTTATCCAACTCGACAACCTAAAGCAAGGATAGCATGAAATGTCTTATCAAAGATGACATGATTTCAAAACTCAGGATGAGAGTCTTATGATGTCTTATGTTGATATATCCATTGGCATCTTTGATTGACGGCCCGAATTAGAGTTTAAGCTCAGAAGCTTCAATTAGCATGCTAATTTACCTCAGTGTCTTCATCAACAGAAGCTCGTTGGGCTTTCCCAGGAAGCATTTCAGCAATCAACTAAAAACCATAAACGATGATGTTCCCGCTATGCTCACCTGTCGATGCTTATCCTCAAGTTTTTTGGGGAATTCCACCGAGAATTGTAAGATCAGGTCACCCTGAAAACAAAAAATATCAACATTCAATACAGCAAACTACTTTAACAAATGGATCCCGGTGAGTGGGCATTCCTTCCGTATGAATTACACGTAAATCTCCGTGAGTGATCACTTCTCCTAAATGTAATCGTTACAAAATAACAACAGCATAACTACCTGGCAAAATGTTGAAATGAAGCGTTCGATCATCAAGCGTCTTTATATTCCTAGCGCATCCACAAAGTGCCTCAACCAGTTGCAAATCGATATTCATGATGAGGTTGTTTCCCTAAACCAGCATGTTAACTTAAACCTAAAGCATTTACCATACCTTTCTAACAAAAGTGTTATGCTGCTGCTCATCAAGCACAATGACAACATCTCCAGCTGGCAGGCCTGGCTCTTGATCTCCCTCACCTAAAAATGGCAATTAAACCGGCATGAAAGCTAATTCAAACCAGAAAACACGACTTTTTGTCCATCTTTCATGCCCTTCTCAATGTGCACTTCGAGAATCTTTTCCTCTTTCATCTAAATTTCAGATAAGTCATTGAGTACTTCATTTTATCAAGTGCCTTCTTCTTTCCATCACAGGTCTTGCAACGATCCTTGGCCGCTATGAACTCTCCCGAGCCTGAGCACTGTCGACAAGGAGCTTGGCTTTGTTGAACAAATCCTAAAATTTTTAAACTTATAATAATTGCATCAGTGATACAACACATTTTTATTATACAATTTTATTTTAAAGCATACCTGGAGCTAGCTGGTGGAGTTTCAAAACAACACCCCGTCCATTACACTCGCTGCATTGCTTCACGGTGCCTTTGGCTCCACCAAGTCCCGCACATCCAGCACAGAGGATGTTTCGAGTGATCTAGAGTAGAGTATAGTTATCATATTATCATTCGAGTGGTTTACTAATCCACATTAAAGTTTACCTTCAACTTTCTTGTGCAACCATTGTAGAGCTGTGCGAGAGTGCACGGCAAATTATGAACGGTTGGTCGAACTTTTGGCGCCTAAATTTTATGGGCCTGCATAAAAATATAAAAAACGTCGCATAAAAACATACCATCCCACGACTCCTTCCGCCACCACCTAAAGAGCACATAATTTGACAATGATTTTATAAACTTAAAATGACTCTTTGTTCTATAAACTTAAAATTTTAAAAATTGACAATGATCCTATAAACTTTTATATACTCAAAGTTCAATGTTTTATTTGTGACTTTGAAAAAACTTACCGAAGAACATGTTGAAAATGTCCATGGGATTATGACCACCACCGCCACCCTAAAATAAAGCTTTAGTGAGCGAACATAACTTTAAAGAGTACCTGAAGTCCCTCTTCTCCATGTTGATCATACAATTCGCGTTTTTCCTTGTCGGAAAGAATCTCGTAGGCTTGTGATATCTTCTTGAAGCGTTCACCCTAAACAACAGGTGTTAGACAAATCGATAAAAGGTTTTTAGACCACGCTTATACCTATTCAAAGACTTTAGTATCAAGGCAACAGCGAAATTTGTATAATTTACGAAACCTGGAACGCTATTTCATAATGATGACATTACACCAAAGCTTTCTTTTGTTTATAACACATCAACATCAAAAAGCACCCTTTAGTACTTGAAAAAACCAAAATTACCTCATCTGGATTTTTGTCAGGGTGATATTTGAGCGCCAACTTTCGATAGGCTTTCTTCAGCTCGCCCTCTGAGCAGCTGGGGTCCACGCCTAGTACATCGTACAAAGCTCTCTCCTTGACCATCGTTTGATGTTCTGAAATGAAAAAAACTAATGAATTTCGATGAAAAAACGATAAGTAAAGTTATTGTGCAAGTAAAAGGAGAGGGAAGAATCGAGAAAATCGACGAAATCGCACTGTTTGCGAGGGGAAAATCGCGTAGTTGGTGGTGGGGATTGGCTACAAACTAGAAATCGAGGGTTGAGAGAAATAGGGGAACACAAGATGAAAATCGGGACCGTAAGAGAAAGATGCAAATTAATGAAAAAGCGCAATAATTAAAGCGTTTTATACCTTTTAGTTACAGTACTTTTGTCTAGACAGTTTAGAGCATTTTAGAAAAGAAAAGAAGAAAGTTAGTATAAAAGAAACTGACAATAGTCGTTGTATAAAAGTTGCCCAACTTTTACCAGACCTTGACGCTTTCTATTGTTTTTTTTCTTCATAAAACTCTATATTCGTTTATTTTAGATGGGTGATGTACCCGTGGAATTTATCACCGACTGGGTGGAACCGAATTTCGAAGAAATCGTGAACCCGAGTCAGGTTTGGTTTTTAGACTTTAAAAATCTACATTCTGGTAAATAGTTGAACCATACATTAAACTAGGTACTGGCTTTTCTTTAGCTTTCTAAAGCTTTCTTTTTTAGCTTGCTTACGCAGATTGTGCCACATTTGACGAAGAACAGCCGCAAACTTCTTATGTGTAAGTTTTTAAGCTTTGCAAATAATTTTTAGTGAGTTTTTTTTGTCATAAAGGGATTATGAAATGAAAAAACTTTTTATTGAATGAAATAAGACTGATTTAGATTCATCGACCCGGAAACTATCGATACGAATGCGTACTTTGAGGAGCATATCTCATCACAACCATCAACGAGCCATAGGTATGTTTTGAAGATTTACGATTTTGAGAAGATAATAAGACTTTTGAAATAGTAATGTTGTTTTTAAAACATAAAAACTATAAGTTTTCTTTTTCAGAAAACCGGCTACGATCGTCGAATGCGAATTTTGCGGTATCATTCTGAAACATCCATCTAAAATACAGGTGGATTTTGTTTATTTGATAGCTGAGCTAAATTGAACTTTACGGTCCAGAGCCAAAATATATTTAAAATCAGTTTTTATGTTTTACTATGCCTAGTTATGCACAAAAAAAAACAAAAATAACGAGGGGAAAAATTTTTAAATTAAAAAATTTGAGCTTTTGGACCGTAAAGTTCATTTTAACCGATATCTGCTCATAGTAATGATAGATTTTGTTCTTAAATCAGTAATACATAGGCTCATCTGCGAACGCACACCGGCGAAAAACCATTTGAGTGTGAGATGTGCGGGCAGAGATTCACCCAGCGTACACCATGGAGAAATCATGTCAGGTGAATCCTTTAGCAAAATGAAATGAATTTTTTTTTGTTTTCAACTGAGAATTTCATAACCTTATAAAAGAAAACTTCTTTTCAAGATTAAATCTTTTGTTTTAGAACTCATTATGGGGATACACCTTTCACGTGTTCTTGTGGTCGATCTTTCGCCAGTCGATCGTTGAAAAACGCTCACGAGCTTTCGCATCAAGGAATTGTGGGTTTTATCAAAAACACATTATCAAGCAATAATGGTGTTAATGGCGTTAATTTAGCGTCGCAAAGGACCACCTCAACCACATTTGAAGCCAAGAAAAAAGTTGATCTACGTGAATGAGGACAGCGATGCGGAATGCCTGATGGACGATAATGGAGAAGCATTTATGATAGATAGGCTTGATAAACGGTATTGTGAAATTTTAAGACTTACCGTAAATCCCGACCACTGTTTCATGTTGTTTTAGATTAATGCCACAAATTTTTGCCGAAGTGATGACTCCAGAAACAACGAACATCAATGATGCGAAAACCCTTCGGCAAGTTATTCAGTGAATCATTTTTTTTTGACCCAACATGTTCAGAATTGAATCTGTTATCAATGATGTGGTGAATTCGGTCACTTTTGTGCCTCAAACGGCAAAGAAAGTGAATCAAGTTGCTCGACGATGCGTCACCGAAACAAAATGTGAGATTTGTGGACTTCAGCTCCGGTATCCAAGCAAAATTCAGGTTAGTATTTGTAGAGTTTAGCATTTCTAACAAAGTGATTTATTTGAAAAATGACTATTGGATACTTTAGGCACATATGCGCACTCATCTTGGAGTTAAGCCATACCCGTGCGAGAAATGCGATCAACGCTTTACGACACCACACTCGTTGAAGATACACGAGAGACGGAAGCACACAAGTAAGTGATTTAGAAGTCATGAATTGGTCTAGGGTCGTCAGATAAAGCTGGAACTTGATCTATTTGAGATTGATAGATCCAGAATTGATTTATTAAAAGTAACCTGCTTAACATTTCAGACGAACGACCGTATCTTTGCACTTGGGAGTGCGGGCTTTCGTTTGTGAGCATCGCCGATCGAAATGAGCACGAGAAGACGGTGCATGTCGGAGTAAAGGTAGAATTTATTAAAATTTTACAGACCAATCTCTTTTTTTAGCGCCACAAATGTGTTGTAATCGACTGTCTTCGTGGTTTTACGAGGAAAAAGTTTGTTCCTATTACCTTTTCCAGTTTGTTCCTATCCCTTTTCAATTTTTGTTTAGATATCTGGTTGAACACATACAACGGGATCACCCAATGGTGCAACTCAATAAGGTTTCTTAAATCTAATGCTAGAGTGAGTAATTATTTAGATTGCTATGCATCCCGATGAAGAATTGGTTTACATTGAAGCGCTAGATGGGGAATTTGAGGAGTTGGTTTGCTTTTGAATACGTTTACTTTTTTCCTTTCAGGATCGTCGAAGAGCAATGCTACGATGTACCTGAATGTAAAGTTTTTTGGTGTCCTTTGAAATATACAATTGCTAGATCCACACGACGACAGAATCATTTATGCAAATGGTTTCTCGGATGGTAGGATTTTTTGATTTTAAACTTAAATTTCTATTTTTAGGACCGCCGACATTACAACCCGAAATCATCTTCTCGAATGTATGCTTGTCACTTTGTTTCTTATACTTTTCAAAATTTAGAGCTCAAAGCACGCACAACAATTAGATCAAAGACCAATTTTGCTTTTGGATCGTCGCCCTATCAATCGCTAAAATTTTATCCATCTTTGTAAACCTTGTAAATTTTGTTACTTTTTTAAATTTGTTGAATAAAGTTTCCTAAAAAATTGCTGGTTTCGAGAAAGTTTTGTTTCTAACAGCATATACATCCCATTGAATGTCCGTTAAACATCGTACCGTATTGTAATTTTGGATCAATTTGTGGATTTTGTGCATTAACGAGTTACTTTTACAAAAAAATGAGTACCAAATTTATTCGATAGAGATTATTTCATCAATTTAGATGCATGAATCGGAGCTGAACTATGAGGAAATCGCTGGAACACCACATCACATTGAAGAAGATGAGGAGATCGAGATTGATGCGGTACCATATCTAACTGTTTGTCTTATCCTGGGAATTTTCTTAAAACGATACCAACATGCGTGAGAACTTACATTAATACCATTGAAAACTGAAATCTTTTACCGTTCATGATGCTTCCTTTTCCAGAGAGCCGATTCGATTGATGATGAGCTGGAAGAGGACATGAATTTGATATCAACCGTTCGTCGCCGAGAGAACGAACACGAGACTGAGAGAAACGCCGCCCGAGAAGCTCTATTTGAATCTTCCGATACGGTTAGTTCTATTCGATTTGCGATCAAGAAATTTTCTTACCCAAACAAACATCCATAACACTTAAAACCTCAACACGACATGAAAAAGTTTGAGCCAAAACGCTTTAGGCGAGTCGGAAACGATACCGAATGATTAAACGGTCACCCGCCTCGGTGTATCACTGTAAAGAGTGCGATAAAACCTTCAAACATCCGTCAAAGATCAAAGAACATCTACGGGTGCACACTGGCGAGAAGCCCTTTGCTTGCCCGATTTGCCCAGCCCGTTTCACTCAGGGACACCCATTGAAGGTAACTTGGGCTGTGGTAAATAACAACTTCAAAACAGATCTGACTGTAAAACAACTTAGACTATCCTCACCTATTAGGAGTATTATATTTAATGTTGTATCAGACATTGTGAAGATCCGTGCTTCAATTACTCTTTTAGGTTCATCTTCGAACGCATCGTGGTGAGCGCCCGTTCAAATGCACATTTTGCGAGAAATGCTTCGTTTCGCTAAATCTTCGAAAAGCGCACGAAAAGGTTGGCTTGTTTCTGAATTAAACATGCTATTAGTAATTTAAATGTAAAGATTTGCTTTAGATACACCAGAGGATTGTCGAGGATGCGGAAATGATGCTGATGGAAGAGGAATTCTATGGTTTGCCCACGATTTTGCCTAATGAAGCACATGTATGCAAAAATTACTAGATATGAACTTTATGAGAACTTTTTGCAGTGGATTATTTTCATTTTAGATGCCCGAGACTGAAGAAAGTACGCAGATTTTTATGTGCCCACTCCCTCGATGTGGATACATTAACGCCGATCCATCACAGGTTTCTAAAATTTGTTTACTTGGCTTACAATTAGCTTAGGCTGGTTTTAAGATCTTCATGTTTGAAAGAGAAATAAGTAAACCGAAGTTTTAGCGTCGCTTTTTAGGTTGAAGCGCATCTCGATCACGGACATTCACATCAGGTCGTGATCTCCGATAAAAGTTGGCAAGAATGCGTTGACGGAGGAGAGGATTTTATTGTTTGTGGTGAGTTATACGTCTTAGATAGATTTTTAGTATTTGACAGCCTTTGCTGGGACGATGTTCACTTAAAACATATCGACTATATATTGTTTTAGACAACTCTGCTTCACAAGACGATCAACGCTTGTTGAATATTGGTGAAGAGGTGACGGTGATGTCCCAGGAAATCGACGATCCGTCCTTTCATCCATCATCATCATTTGAAAGTCAAAAGATTAAACAATCGAGGTTTTGTTATGTTATCTGACTTCTCTAAGGTTTTCATTTAGAAGTGACGAGAGTGCGATTTGCAGTGCCAATGACGGTTATTCGGAATTTGAGGACCATGTTGTTTTAGGTAATTTTTATGAGCAATTGAAGTAAATTTGACAATTTTCTGGTAAAAATTGTCTAGTATTAAGTTGCTAATCGTGAATTTGTTTAGAGGAATTCATCCCAACTACGGCTTCCGGATTTGGCGATATGTCGAATGTGCTTTTCAAGCAAGAGTTGGTCATTTGTACTTGTGTCACTATCCTAAATTGTAGCCTAAAGGGTAGAACAGCGTAGGACCTAGAAATTTAATAAATTTGCCGCAAAGTTATTAATTTTTATATTTTAGACATTCATCAAATGACGAGGAAGAAGACGGTGAAGAAGACGGTGAAGAAGACGGTGAAGGACCGTCGACGGGAATTCGTTTATATATCGACCCCAGCCCAGCACCACGAGGCCAAGGTCGAAAAACGGGCACTCACTTTCAGAAGGTAAGATTTTAAAGCAATATTTAAATGTTTACTAAACTTCTAGCAAATTGAACATTCACGGAAGTTAAAATTTTAGTTAGAAGAGGTGACACTGGACACCGCCTACGTGGAAATGGTGAGTCCGGCGGAGGTATCGACAAGAAACAAAGGCGATTATAAACCGGCTCGGTAAGGATTAAGTTACTTACCGTATTCCTTTAATATAATGTTCCAAAACATTATATCAAAACCAACTATTTTCCAATCAAATCTCTTTGTTCAGCAATTTGGATTGGATCATCGAGGCGGTGGCTCGTGGACAAGATGTCGACTCAGCAAGCCCACATCATCGACGGAAGCCGACGACCTGGTTTTGTAAGACTTGCGAGCGAGTGATCAAGTATCCGAGTCGAATTGAGGTGAGATTCCTAGTAAGTAATTAAAGCTATAGTTAGCTAGTACTACTGTAAGTACTAGCTAACTACTGTATCATTAGAGATACGATACAATCGGATACTGTAGTTAATGGCTAGCTTACAGTACATTAGAGTATTGAGTTCTACATATATTTAAAAAGCGAGATTAGTGATGAACTCCAGTAGCATTGGGTTATTGTGCAGCCTTTTTCATTATAGGCTCATCGTCAAATGCACGCCGGTCAAAAGCCGTATACGTGCGAGATTTGCGGGATGGCTTTCTCGCAGCGAACACCAATGCGTTTACACGTGCGGCGACATTTGGATCAGGTAAAATTGATTGGATTTGATGTCAAAATAAAAAATGGACCATATCGAATGCAGAAATTTTTAGTTGTGATATGTAAACTTTGATAATAATGACCATACAATTACTAAATACTCTGATTTTTCAATTTTAGAGACCGTTCGTTTGCGTGATCGACAGCTGTGGACAGAGATTTGTCTCGGGAGCGATTCTGAACAATCATCAGAAAGAGAAACACTTTGGACAAATGTTAGTTTTTTTTAGTAATTTAGTGAACCGTTTCATATCCGTTCCAGCCTTCTAAATTTCTAGGCGTCGCTACTTTTGCATGAAAGGATGTGGTGCGACTTTTGGCACCTCTCAAAAACGACATCAGCACGAGACGGTGTGCACATTTGTGGCCATTTCGACAGAGCTCATCAATCAGCAACAATACGAAGAGAATTTGCTAGAAGAAAATGGGGATGAGGAAGAGGTGAATTTTTTAGAACATGGATCATCAGAATTAATTGTACAAAAGCTTGCTCAGTACAAAACGGTGCCATCATTAGTCTGGTGTGGCAGTGAACTTGGCTTTCAAATATTATGAAATCTAAATCCAGATTTAGATTTGATAAGGATTTGATAGGCCAAGCCTATTTTTAAGTTTTCAGTTTTTCTTTTGAAAGTTACAATTAAAAATTTGTTTAGTCAGTAGCTCTTTTAAAATATTTGATTTGAAAATTTGGCTTTAATACTAATTTTTCTAGGTACCTTTTCTTGGTGATGGAACTGATGAGATTTCTCGCGATCACTTCAACGAGCAACAATTTGTTTAGCATTTTTTTGGATTACTTTCACGGGTTCTTGTTTTAATTTTTCTTCCTTACGGGTCTTCATAATATTTAAATAATCTGACTAATAAATGGTTTTAGAGTTTGAATTTTCAGCATAATTTTGACAGTTTTGAAAATTCGTCGGTTCGTTACGGTAGCCTTCTAAAATAGGTGCCTTTTAAAGTTCTTAGTCACCTCCAAAGCTGAACTTGTTCAAAAATTGTACGCAAGACTAGTAAAACAAAATGAAATAGTGAGTTTCACAGCACTTCTTCTTCGTCATTTCTCTCAACTAATTGGATTTAGTGAAGAAAAGAATCAAAAACGTCAAATGGTTAAAAAATGAAGAGGGTAATCGAGCTGTTTTGCCATTTTCTTGGCCTTTTCAAGAAAGAAATGAAAATTCTTCGAGGAATTGGGAAATCGGGGAAATTCAGAGAAAATGATGGCGTTTCCCGGGTAACTGAGAGTGCCTGGAGCAAAAAAATTTGCAAAATTTTCCCCTTTCCCATCAATTTTTAAACCTATTCACCTATCTGATCAAATTTTTCTAGAAATTGCGTCAAAACTCAGTGATTTGGAAAATCAAGCATTTCTCTGAGATTTTCGACATCAAATATTGTTCCCAAAACACGTTAAACTTTTATTCTTAGCACTGAATTTTTAGAATTTTGTCAAATTTGATAAATTTTCTTTTGAAATCGATCAAACCGATGAATTTGATCATATTTTAATAAAAAGTTTCGAAAATCTTTCTCCTTTAGATGACTGAGTAAGCTCAAATTTCAATTTAAATTGAATTTACATTTCAAGTTGCATTTCGATTTACATTTCAATTTCAATTTACTTTTCAACTACATTTCAATTACATTTCGATTTACATTTCAATTTACATTTAAAATTTCCCTCAACTCGTCTTTTCAGAAACGTCAAACTCGAGCTAGTCACTGAAAATTCGTCAAATGTCTCGATTCCGATAGTTTTACTATCGGATAAGCTTTACTATTGGATAAGCTGTACTATTGGATAAGCTTTACTATTGGATAAGCTGTACTATCCGATAAGCTGTACTATCCGATAAGCTTTACTGTATATTCCAAAAAGGTGTACGGTAGATTTACAAAAAAGAGCGTCATAGAATTTGCCTGTACACAAAAAAAGCGTGTAAATTGTGCACAACGTTTCGTTTCCCGATTCGCATGTGCCAGCGCCGGGTCGTGCGCTCGTTTCTCGCCGTTTTTCGTCTCGTTCGGAGGTGAGCACTGTGGGATTACGGTAGCTACTGGACTATACAGTGGACATGCGATCCGATCCATCCAATCCATCGAATTCGCCTCGCTTACTTTCGCCTTTTTGCTATCGAATGGTATCAAATATATCGAAATTTGAGGAACTTTGTTTTTTGTTATTTTTTTCAATTTGGATACAATTTGGATACAATTTGGACGTCTTATTTAATACCATTCGATAGCTATTATTTTTACCTATCAAATGATAGAAAAAGCTTTAGAATTGGCTTAGGGAAAGCTGAGAAAAACGCATTTTGCCAACGGCAAAAAGGCGAAAATGGGCGGGGTGAATCCGATCGGATCAATCGGACACAGTATTGTGCTGTACAGTGGAGTATGCTCAAAAGTATTGTAGGATTACTGGCTGTACTATACAGTACACAGTACTATATAGCGTACTATACAGTACACAGTACTGTATAGTACAGCGTACGCTAATGAGTACTATAGAATTACTGTAGTTGTATAGAAAAGCTGCAAAACCCTCAAAGGAGCTATTCTTTTTTTGCTTAAAAGCAAGCGAAATCCTACAAGAGTACTGTAGTAGCCAATTACAGAAATTCGACAGTACCCTTTTCCCATTACTGGTGCAGGAAAAGAGTACTGTAGATCAATGTACTGTTGATATGTCGTAGCCGTTTACGAATTGAGGGTATTTCCGGGAATCCAATCAAAAAGTCGTCAACATAAAAATGTTTATAATACATATATTTTATAATAAATTTTTCAAATTACCTCATTTGGTTCGGTAGAAAATTTTTTATAGCCATTTTTGAACCGAAACTTTGGGGGCTCAGAAAGAATTTTCTACTCAGCCAAAAAACTTGCTTTATAGCTCATTTTGTAGCCAGTTTGATGTAGATTCTTAAAGTAAAGTCATCTAAAACAATTGTTCGTTGAAAGTAGAAGAAAGACGGCGAGGAACAATTTAAGGGCAAGATTCAAATGTGAAAACAGCGACCGAGTTCAACTGAAGTCGTTCCTCGTCCTCTTTCTCCTAGTTTTGACAAAACAAATGTTCAATGTAGCTTTACTTTAAGAATCTACATCAAATTGGCTACAAAATGAGCTATTAGGCAAGTTTTTTGGCTGAGTAGAAAATTTTTTCTGAGTCGCTAAAGTTTCGGTTCAAAAATGGCTATAAAAAATTTTCTACTGAACCAAATGAGGTAATTTGAAAAACTTATTATAAAATCTATGTATTATGAGCATTTTTATGTTGATGACTTTTTGATTGGATGCCCAGAAATACCCTGATTCGTATTCGTAAACGGCTACGACAGATACAATGGCAGGCGGATTTACAATGGATTAGACACAATTTCCGGTGAATATCGCAATAATCCAACTCAGGAGCTATTCTTTACCTTTATAGTACTCTTAAAGTATTCTAAAAGTATCTAAAAGTATTTTTTCTTAGACCATTTCTTTATGTGGGACGAATTTTCGACGAAAAAGAGGAAACGGAGGAGATCTTTGAGCCGAGAAAAGCAGCTTCGATGGGTTTGATTTGTAGAGGACGACGCCCATCCACCGCTCAAGTCAGTTAGGCTCAGCTCAGCTCAATGCTCAGCTCAGCTCAGCTCAATGCTCAGCTCAGCTCAGCTCAATGCTCAGCTCAGCTCAGCTCAATGCTCAGCTCAGCTCAATGCTCAATGCTCAGCTCAGCTCAATGCTCAGCTCAGTTCAATGCTCAGCTCAGCTCAATGCTCAGCCTTTAAACTACCGTAATCAATAGTTTGAAGAGGAAAGCTTACGGTAGTTTAAAAGCTGGGACACGAAATTCTCGAATCCTTTACCTTTCAGATGTTCGGCTGGGCATTGTTGTTGATTGAATTGTTGCTGGAGACGATCTCAACCCTGCCCTTGTTCACCCCATATCTCACGATCGTTTTCATCGTCGGTAAGTCCTTTTCATCGTTCGTCGGTAAGAAAAGACGCGTTTCTGTGAGCAAAGACATTTTTAGGCCTTTCCCTCATCCTTATCCAAGTCTTCTTCTTGACAATTTTTGATCCAATTCCAGAGGCGCTTGAAGAGAAAAGGAAATTGGTAAGCTGGGAAATATTGTACAAAAGAATACTGTAAACTTCCCCAGTACACAACAGTACTCTTTGCTACATCTAGAAAAGATATTCAATTCGTATACAGTAGCTACAGGGCATAAAACCGCTTCCATTCGATCCGCTTCGTCATCGACATGTCATCGAGAATCAGTATTGCAATGTGTGCGAAATACCGGTGTAAGTTTCTCGAGAATTGTTGGATGAATAATGTTAGATGTTAGATGAGATGTTACACATCCGCGCGAAATAAGGCAAAAAAATCGTTTTCTATAGGATTTTTACGTTTGAATAGCCGATTGACGCAGAAAAATGTGCTGAATCCGAAAATAAAAGAATTTTCGAAATCCCTTCAACAAATTTTTTAAAAATCGAGTTTTAGTGATTTTACTGTGTTAAATTTCAGCCAGATTTTATTGTCGGAGCAAAATTTTGGAAACAAAAGCCTAAAACAAAAATGTAAACCGCAAGTCTCATCTAACATGTTAGATGAGATGTTAGATGAGATGCTAGATGAGGTGTTAGATGAGGTGTTAGATGAGATGCTAATAGGTTGATGCATAAGTCTTTTTGTTCCTTTTCGTCTGCCGTTTCAAGCCAACAAATGCACCAATTAAACTACGGTTGATTTCATTAGAAAAACCAATTATTTTTCTGCAAAATAACATTAAAACGGGTTTAAAAATATTTAATGCCTGGATTTTCTTGAGATTATGAAGTCGGGTAGTCAAAAAGGGCTAACTCGATGATGCGGTTTAGACACCTTAGCTAAAGAAAACCTATCTTCGTGTCAATAGATAAAAGATAGAGAAAAAAAAAACGTTTGATATTTCGCCAAAATTTCAGAGAAATTCATTCAGCCAATTTTTCCGTAGAGTTTTTTATAGATTTTTACGAAAAAGGCGTTTTTCACTCTCGAATTTGCTTGAAAGTGAACCGAAATTCATTTAAAAAGATGCAAATTGAACAAAAAAACACTTTTTTTATAGAGCAAACTATAGATTAATTGGTGAATTTGTTACTTTTTAACAGAAGTACGAAAAAAACGAAAAGACTTATGCATCAACCTAATAGATGAGATGCTAGATGAGATGTTAGATGAGATGCTAGATGAATTGTTAGATGAGATGTTAGATGAGATGCTAGATGAGATGCTAGATGAGATGCTAGATGAGATGTTAGATGAGATGTTAGATGATGAATCTTGGGAATGAGCAAGGAATGGGAAAGAAAGCTTTTTGGGAGAGGGGATTGAACTCTTGATCTTTGCTTTCTTTCTTTCTTTCTTTCTTTCTTTCTTCTTTGACAGATGCTCTAACCACTGAGCTATTTGGTATCTACTTTCCAGGAAAAACTTCACAAAACACTGCCGTCGATGCAATATGTGCGTCGAGGAATTCGATCATCATTGTGTTTGGCTGAACAATTGTGTTGGAAGACATAATTATAAGTGAGTTTTCTGTAAAACTACGATTTCGGAGACACAGAAGACAAGAGACAGAATACAGGGTGGCTGATAAGTATTGTCGCGTACACGTGTCTCGCTGTGGATAATAAGTCTCGGAAAATCGCACCTCGAGGATATATAAGCTATTTCCTTTGCCCCCAACCGTGACGAGATAGTGTAGAGGTAAATGTGCGAGGCCTTAATCCCGCCTTTGCTTTTTTCACCCTGGTTCGGATCCGGTTGCGAAATTTCTTTTGCTTTTGAAAGAGAAAATTCATCTAGATCTATCGAAGATCATTTCTTTGGCTCGTTTTTGGTTAAATCTAAGATTTCGGGCTACGGTAGTTCTATGGGCTATGGGCTATGGTAGCTATGGGGCTATTTGAAACAAAATAGTGATTTGTCAAAGAACTGACTATTCGACTGACTCGACTGACTGTTTCTTTTCCTATTATTTTTCTAATCTTTCTTGAACTTGTTCTAATGTTTTAGAAGATTCTTGATATTGGTGACGTCATTGGCGTTCTTTTCGATCTCCGGTTGCCTTGTCGCATTTGTGCTTGTGATTAGCTTTTTCTCGCACGCGTCACTCATCGAAATGGGTAAGATTTACAGAAATATTGTAACAGATTACGGTAACAGTCGTTGAAATTGAATAACTTATTTTACAGTATACCTTTAGGCCCAAACAACGAGACGCTTCGACTGGAGCGCTGGTTTTTCACGGATCTCGATCAACGTCTCTGGCTGACCAGCACCGTTGTGTGAGTCGACTTCGAGTGTACTTTGCGCTCACCTGTAAACGCATCCTTTCTAGTGTACTGAGTCCTTCATTTTCTTGAGGAAAAACAAAGAATTCAGTGCGCCAGAGGGATGTGTTTGCAAGATTTGAGCACAAATACATTTGAGGTTAAATGCTGGCTGTCTGGCGTAATGAATCTATTTTTACAGATGCCTTTTCGTGAATATTGTCTGCGCAATTCTCACCATTCATCTCCTCGTCTTTCACTTCAAAATCAGTGAGTGAAACGATTGAAAATGAGTGAAAATGAATGAAAATGAAAAGAATTCGAGAATTTTCAGTTCGTCAAGGCATTTCTACCTATATCTTCATCAGTTTACGAAGAAAAGTAAGCAATTTTAGTCTAAAAGAATGCAAAAAGAATGGTAAAAATGAAAATAAATGGCTCCAATCAATTCGTCAAAAATAAATGGCTAAAAAAAATCGTCATTACCCACGACTCAGCAGTATCGAGCGTTGAGCGTTTTCTCAGGATTCCGCTAGACCAATCAAACTCTATTTGTTATCATTTGAAAGCCTAAGATTTCCTCTATAGAATAGTATCAAAAACTTACAAAATGCCTTTAGCCAACTCGAGAAGCCGGCACAGCAACGGGAAGCGAGGAACCACAGCCTGAGCAACCGGCCGCTCAACCGCACCTCGGCACAAACACCACCCCAGTCAAGGTGATCAAGGTAAACGAAAGATTTTCTCATAAAAGCTGAGTCTGCAATATTTTTGAGGTCAAAATGTCAGCAAAATCTTTTTCCCATCCTTTCAGCCCACCTCCGGTTCTCCACTCCGCGTTCGAGCCGTCGCCGACTCGAGTCCCCAGGGCGCTCTCTCATGGGCTCAACAAGACATGTACAGTTTTTTGAAAGATATTTGTCAAATCTTGGGTCACAAATCTCTAACCAAGCTGAATCCCGCTTTTCTGGACTGATCCCGGACTTGCTCAGGCCAGTTTCAAGCCTGATTCTTGACCCAAGACATATGCCAGGCGAACTGATCTAGTCTATTCTTCAATCCTAGTTGGAGCTTCAATCCAATCCCTTCTTCAATCCTAGTTGGACAGACAGAAAGTGTACATGTCAATACAGTACACAAAGTGACTAGCCAAAGTACCGTAATCCTGTCGGGCTTGGTTTAGAATTGCCCATCTGTACTTTGTGCTCGAGTCTTGCAAACGTACACTTTCTGGTGCAGTGAATTCCAGGCCGATCTTGGTCTCTGCCCGACTCTGGCCTGTGCAAGTCAGGGATTCAATTCAGCTTTGCAAATAGTGACATGGGCTTTGGGTCGGGTCGGGTCGGATCCAGCTCAAATGCGATTTTTCGGTTCACATTTTCCCAAGCTGTAAAAATCCCATCAATAATTTCTACTGATTCTAAAGCATTGCCCTGAGGTAGGGATCGAATGAAAGTTGCCTAAGCGAAGCGATGATTCCGTGTGTTCCAAATGGATGAATTGAAGTGGCCCTCGATCCTAAAGAAATATATTAAATAATGAAAGTAAATCAACAAAATTAAAAACAAGTTATCAAAAATCGCTACTAATAGAAAAAAGTAATGAAAAATGAAATTATTTTTTTGGAAAATTGCAAGAAATTTACTCAAAAGTTACTCAATTCATTAACTGAATACCTTCAAAAACAAAGAGAGCACATTTTAGAAAACACAATTTGCTATTTTATGGAAAATAGACCTACCGTAAATACTGTAATAGTACCCCGCCCGCTCGTAGAGTCGCGTAGTCGCAAAAGTTTTTTAGTTTTTAGTATTTCATTTTTCTCAAAGCGCTCGTACTTTCAAAAAATGCGTCTTTGGTATCAAAAAATAGCCCTGAATTTCAGCTATTTTTTGATACCAAAACGAACATTGTAGCTTAAACCAGTGTCGAGAAAAACTCTTTCAAAGCTAGACTACGCAACATTCCACACCGTCATTATGGGGGTGGGGCACTATTACAGTGTTTACGGTAGGTCTTTCCCAATTAGACTTTTGATACCAAAAAAATACTAGCTTTAAAGGCTATCATTTGACACCAAAGCAACTTAAGTTGACCAAAAAAATTGCACTCTAATAGAACGCCATAATGACGAGCGTACAATCGCGTAGTCTTACTTTGAACGTCTCATTCTCCGCGCTGGTTTAAGCTACAGTTTGTGTTTTGGTGTCAAATGATAGCCCTTGAAGTCTACTATCTTTTGATACCAAAAGTATAGTTAGGAAAGATCTAGGAGCTGAGAAAAGAATGGTTTTCTTTAGTGAAGCAAATCTCGAGACTCAGCAACACCAAAAGCGTGCCTCATTGTTGCCGACGCTGGAGGGGAGATTCAAGAATTCCGTTCATCAAGTAAGCTTAAGCTTTTCAAACGCATCCTCTCTGGTGCACCAAAATTCACTCGATTTCTCAAATCAAATTTTAGTCTTCGCCAAACGAGCATGACCAGTCAAGCCCGAATTCTGTTGTTGTCTAATAAAGGATAGTACGATACAGTACGATACAGTACGATACAGTACGATCAGTACGATCAATACAGTACGATATAGTACAGAACAATACAGTACAGTTACTTTTAGAGAAAAATGAAGAATTCAGTGCTCTAGAAAGTGTACGTTTAATCAAAAGCAAAAAGTACTCGTCTCTTTTCTCTGCAAAGTCTAGACTTTACCTTTTCTTGAACAAATTTTCAATTTTTCACCAACTTTCCTGCAACTTTCTTGAGCCTTACTTATTATACTTTTCACAAAATATTGCATTACTGTGCGATTAAACTTGACCCAGACAACCTGTCTTCATTGGCGGGTAATATTTCAGATGATCCTATCCGTTTCCATACAAACAACTGCTTGACCATGCAAATCGATGGTTGTTTTGTGCCATTCATTTTTCCTTGAGACCAATCGGCACTTCTTCATTTTCTCCGACCGGTTCTTTCCTTAATTTTGGTTCTAGATCTTTTACTCCCAGAGACTTCTGCTAAATTTTTTTATCTTAGACTTCGCCTTCAACGATTTGTAACAGTCAAGCTTCACTGATTGTTCCACGCCAAGAAATTCGACCTTCTTACCGGTGGAACCTCTACTGCCGTCAGCAAGACTGTCTTTGACTTGTCGTTGCTCGACCGAGATTTGTTAATGGAACAAAACGTACGTTTTTCTATCCTAATCGGTTTTCATAATCTTATTTTAGTACATCATCGTGCAGGGAAAAGATAAGAAAGTCGTCAAAGTCCAAGTTCGATGTGGTCAAATCAACGAATACACTCTGCGACGTGCATTTCAGCTTGATAAAGAATTGCCAGTTTCACTTTGGAAAGATGACTTGTTTCTGGGGTGAGTCTTAAACATTGTGTGATTTAATGGTTTGATTAGTGAATAATTGCATTAATTTAGGGTCCGTCCCGAAGGTGAAGATTTTATTTATGAACTCGGCGACAATTGGAAGGGTCAAACTTATAAGCTTGAATGGGAAGGAGAACGTGGGTTTCGACCGTCGACTGCAATCGTGAGATCTCCCGGGTCCTCAGCTGAAGCTCGCCATGAATCGCCAGATCCCAAAGGTAAAAAGACAATTCCAAGCTTATACAATTCATTGGGAGTATTACCATTTTGGACTAGATTAACACATTTTGGACTAGATCAACCCAGATTAACACTCTTGCACCTACTAAATTCACTAAATTCTATCAATTTTAGTTTCTTCAACGCCACTTCCAATCCCCGAAACCATAAACAAATGGATGTTCTATGCTTCCGATCTACTGACCGGAAATTCGACGGTGGTGTGCATCCATCCACGCTATTTCGTCACACGTCACGGGGGACACCTTCAACTTCAAATCGGAAGTGCTCTTCGAATCTTTCCTGCAAAGAGTGAAACTAATGAAGGCGTCGGTAATGAAGGGTACGAAGTCACCGTCGTGAACATCGAAGAGCACTTGGGCCTCATTGTACTCCGAAGCGAAAAGGCTATTGGCCCGGTAAAATTTGCGAAACTGCCTATTTAGCGAGTATTTTTTTAGAAATCGCCGCGATTGGTTCCAGCTGAGAAATCTGAGAGCTTCCTCCTGGCAGGATTTGGCGACATGAACACTGGAACACAGCAATTAGTCTACTCAACCGGAATCGTTCACTCAGTTGGCCACCATTTCTGCCGCAGTGGCAAATCGATGGGTCCATTAGTTTTGGGAACTCTACCGGGTTCGAGACGAGATTCAGGTAAATATTTTGGTCGTATAACCCAAAAGAAAAAGGTTCAAAAATGCTGATTTCTGTATGAAAAATTTTAGGCGGAGCATGCTGGAGCGCCAAGGGGCTTATTGGTATCATTTGTGGTGTTATCACCGTGCCAGAGACGACCTACACCCACGCAATTTCAGAAGAGGCAATCTACAGTCCCACGAATTATATATCTCCGGCAACTAAGATTAGACTATCTATCGTGGTAATATTTAGAAAATTAATTATTGAAATTAAATTTATAATTTCTAGCGTGAATTGGGAAACGAGAAATGTGCTTCTATCAAAGCTTCTGTTGAGAAGAAGGGGGAGGTTTTTCGTGGTGGGCCGGCTTATGGTTTTTTTATCGGCCTTGACGAACCATAGTCCCCGGGTGTATGGGAAAGCGCTAATTTACTAAATGTAATGATTCTATTTGTGATATTTCGCTCCTACGTTCCTATTGGCCTTCTAGTCTCGCTTTTCACTCTTCTCCGTTCTGATCTCAAATTTTTTCACTTCTGAATTGAGTTGTCTCAGGTTTCACCTCGCAGTTGAGAAATTTTATTTATCTGTTACTACAAATTCATTGCATAAAACGGTTAACATTTATTTGTGGTGCATAAATTTATTTGAATAAATTTAGCTATGTATAACACATCGTAAACAAAAAAAAACACTAAGATCTTTCTAACACTAATAATGAAGGCGACGTCACAGAGGGTGACAAGAAAAAGTACCGAGTTTAATTGGGTAACTTTTAAGAAATGACTTTAAAGTTTAGAGGGCTGGCAGCAGTGAATCTGTAATCAAAAAAAATGAGCAACAGTGAGTGAAGAATGGATCAAAATATTCCGGCCAAAATTGGAAAATGAAGATAAATTGCTTAGGATATTTTCTGATGTAAAACATTGATCAATTTACACAAATCAAAGGTTCACAAAAGAACAATAAGTAAACTTTTCTATCGTTTTTCTGTTCTGTTAATCCATATCCTCCAGTCTTCGACTTCGACTTTTGTATCTTTTCCATTTCCTTGCACAAAGACAAACTAAAATGAGATTATGATGGCCGACTAGAATAGAAAACTAGCATTTTAAGTCGAACAGACTAAAGAATCACCGTTGGTTCCAACTTTGAGGCATCAGTGGCACTCTCCAACAAAATCGGCGCGTGATGCATAAGTCTTTTCGTTTTTTTCGTACTTCTGTTAAAAAGTAACAAATTCACCAATGAATCTATAGTTTGTTCTAAATAAAAAGTGTTTATTGTTCAATTTCGGTTCATCTTCAAGGAAATTCGAGAGTGAAAACGTGTTTTTTGTAAAAATCTATAAAAAACTCTACGGAAAAATTGGCTGAATGAATTTCTCTGAAATTTTGGCGAAATATCAAACTTTTTTTCTCTATCTTTTATCTATTGACACGAAGATAGGTTTTCTTTAGCTAAGGTGTCTAAACCGCATCATCGAGTTAGCCCTTTTTGACTACCCGACTTCATACTCTCAAGAAAATCCAGGCATTAAATATTTTTAAACCCGTTAATGTTATTTTGCAGAAAAATAATTGGTTTTTCTAATGAAATCAACCGTAGTTTAATTGGTGCATTTGTTGGCTTGAAACGGCAGACGAAAAGGAACAAAAAGACTTATGCATCAACCTAATACATTAAGCCACTCTAAGTCAAGTAAAACCAAGCGAACTTGCATTTTTGCCACCAGCGGCCTCCTGCTTGTCGTTGCTCTCTTCACTCTCGTTTCTTTCCCTTTCCCACGTCATCAAGAGCAGAAGGTAGCACCCGGTGCTCTTTTTTAAAGCTCGGGTCCTTTTAGAAACCTTTGTCTAAACAGAAAAATTCAAGCAAACGAAAGAATATTCATCATCTGGAATCAAGTCGTATTCAACGAAAGTGGCAACAACTTCTCCAAAAATTCCTTGATATTTTGCTTTCAAGACACAGCTCCCAGATTTTCGTGACCGATCGAAGGCCTCGTAATCTTGTTTCACAATGCAGGAAAATTAGAAAGCTGATTAAAAATTAAGATGTGCATGTTGAGCAACTTGTCGAGTGAGGCGCAATCGTTTACCAGCTGTCGATTTTTTACTAAGCCATGCGGAGAACAAAATCTAAAGAAGAATGTCGAGCATTGAGAAAATATACCTGTGTTTTGAAGTGCCCATGCATTGCCATAGAAGGTAAAGGTAAAGCCATAGAAGCAGCAGAAAGCATTGACTAAATATATAAAATTTGTAAGAGCTCCGTTATTAGAACATCTGTTCATTTAGCAATTTCCAAGCGCCACCACTACGAATTTGTTTATCCACCCATAGCGAGGAACTCAGTCGCTCGACGAATACTGGCCAAATGGTCGACTTTGCTAAATATGCAAATAAAACTTTTTCAAAAAAATTACAAACCTTCGTCCATTGTTTGTCAGATGGAGATAATTCTCAAAGACAAAGAGCGGCATGACATCATAGTCAACAAAAAACATTTCCTGTTTTTCTTGGAGAGTCGAAGATTTACTAAGTAAACGTCAAGCTGCTTCGGAAGCATTCTGAAGCAGAACACAACTGTCCCTGTAAAGAATAAAACCCACAATTGTAATATCTTTTTGTGTAATGTGCAGGTTGGGAATGGCTTTGCGCATTTGAAGATTGAAGATACATTGTTTGACGTCATAATTGGAAAGCTCAATAATTTCATTAATCTAAACAATTTTTGTTTCACGGAGCCTGTTTAAAAAATCTACATCTTCTTTGGACATCCGCAACTTTTCTCGTACTGCAATCATCATAATACGGCTCTAAATGATCATGATTTTTCTTGAAGAGATGCATTCAGCATACCCGAACGTGTTCCACGCGTGGTCGTTGAACATCAAAGCAGTAGTTGATCAAAGAACGCATTTTTGGATGGGCACGGTCATTGCATACACAAATGATTTGAATCATTTAGGCCCAAACAACGAGACGCTTCGACTGGAGCGCTGGTTTTTCACGGATCTCGATCAACGTCTCTGGCTGACCAGCACCGTTGTGTGAGTCGACTTCGAGTGTACTTTGCGCTCACCTGTAAACGCATCCTTTCTAGTGGACATAATTCTTCATTTTCTTGCAAGATCGTGAGGAAAAACAAAGAATTCAGTGCACCAGAGGGATGTGTTTGCAAGATTTGAGCACAAATACATTTGAGGTTAAATGCTGGCTGTCTGGCGTAATGAATCTATTTTTACAGATGCCTTTTCGTGAATATTGTCTGCGCAATCCTCACCATTCATCTCCTCGTCTTTCACTTCAAAATCAGTGAGTGAAACGATTGAAAATGAGTGAAAATGAAAAGAATTCGAGAATTTTCAGTTTGTCAAGGCATTTCTACTATTAAAAGTATTAAAAGTATAGCTAGGAAAGATCTAGGAGCTGAGAAAAGAACATGGACATTTGAAACAATATCTTTCTTTAGTGAAGCAAATCTCGAGACTCAGCAACACCAAAAGCGTGCCCCATTGTTGCCGACGCTGGAGGGGAGATTCAAGAATTCCGTTCATCAAGTAAGTCTAAGCTTTTCAAACGCACGCTCTCTGGTGCACCAAAATTCACTCGATTTCACAAATTAAATTTTAGTCTTCACCAAAGGAGCACGACCAACCAAGCCCGAATTCTGTTCTTGTCTAATAAAGGATAGTGCGCTACAGTACGATCAATACAGTACGATGCAGTACAGAACAATACAGTACAGTTGCTTTTAAAGAAAAATGAAGAATTCAGTGCTCTGGAAAGCGTACGTTGAACCAAAAGCACAAAGTACTCGTCTCTTTTCTCCGCAAAGTCTAGACTTGACCTCATCTTGAACAAATTTCCAATTTTTCTCAATTTCCAAATCATCAATCGCATCTTTTCATTCGAATTAGTCGGGGAAAACAGCAAGAAGTATGCAATATTCAAAAATGGAGCTGAGAAAAAAGTCGGAAAAGGTGAAAAAAGTGCCATGGAAGTCTTTAAGATGTTCGTGAAAGTTTTGAAAAGTGCTTAAAAACGTTGTGGAAAACATTTGTTCAAACGTGTTGAAAAGTTGCGCAAATGACCCTTTTGCGCAAAAATCTTGGCGGAAAGTAACCATCCCCCCTCCAAAAAGAACAAAAAGTTCTAGAAAGTTGATTACGGTTATTTATATTTAAACACTTTTTAAAGATCCTAAGCATTAAAGATACTCAGTTTACTAAATGAAAATCCCCGACAGTGTTTTTGTTTTTTAACTGTCAATAATAATGTCAATGTCAATAACAACTTTCCTGCAACTTTCTTGAGCCTTGCTTGTTACGGTATTTTCTGTAATAGTAGTGCAGTCTATAATAGTAGTGCAGGCAGGAGGGGGGTTGAAAAGAATAGTAGTGCACCCTGCTAAAATTTGCTCTTTTGCTGTTCCCTTTGACTTCCCTTTGTTTTAAAAGCATACTGGTAGCTAAATGAGATGCGATTATGAGATTGTGACTATTTATTTAGTACTGACTAACATATTGTGTTTGTAATTAACTTTTTGACATATTGCTACTACTTCTTTTGGTACTTATGGGTCTTACCCTTGGTCTTAAGCACTTGACTAAACAAAGGCTGAAACTATGCCTTTCTTAGTTTAGCTTAGTCTTCATCTACTATAATTTTATTTAGAAGTATAATTTAAACATAGTTTGCCCATAAAATAAATCTACTTGCACTAAAATTGACATATTTTTATGATGGAAAAATAGACGGTAGCTATAACCCATAAGTACTCTTCTTTTATTGATTTACAAGCATTTTCTTATTCTTTTCAAAGTTTGATTTTTTAGAAATGGAACTGGACGGCGATTGCGACAAACAATTGCAAGAGTTTCGTACAAAGCATGAACACTATCAATTCGAAAAGGATGCTCGAGATTGGAACGCTCAATGCAAAGAGGATTTTCTCGTGCCTGAAGATGAAAGAAACTTGGATGCCAATGAAACCAATATTGCTGACAATCTATCGGCAACTGGCGAAGAGGAGCCTGATGAGGAACCTTTTCGAAAACGCAAAGTGACCCCATCCGAGAGGGGGTCGAAGAAAAAACGCCGTTTTGACGTCGAGACCAAGCTTATGGTTGTCGCTTTTGCGGAAAAGACTGACAAATCAGCCGCCACTAAGAGATTCTGTGTTCATCGGCAAAATTTTCTTTAGTGGTGTAAGCAAAAGGACGATCTTGTGAAACCAAAAGGAAAATAATTGAAGCGCCTTGAAGGTGGTGGTCGGAAATTGAAGGACGCAGCTTTCGACAACGAGCTTATCAATTGGATCCGAGAAAAGCGATTAAAGTAATTACGATTGACTCGCAAAATGATCTAATGCCAAGCTCAAATGAAATGGAAAAATGACGAGAAATTTTCAGCATCAATTGGCTGGCTAAGTTGTTGTATGGAAAGACATCACCTCTCGACGCGTCGACCAGCAACTCGATTTACTTGGAAGAGAGGGATGAGATACGTACATGATACCTTTAATTATTGCCTGGTAAAGGTATGGATCTAGTGAAAAAAGGAAATTCTAATAGTAGTGCAGGCTAGAGGACGGTTGAGAAAATAGTAGTGCGCACTACTATTAAAGAAAATACGGTATGCTTTTCACAAAATATTGCATTACTGTGCGATTAAATTTGACCCTGTCCTCATTCGCGGGTAATATTTCAGATGATCCTATCCGTTTCCGTAGAATTTTTTTTCAAACGCAAGGATCTTTAATCTTAGACTTCGGGTTCAAAGACTTGTAGCAGTCAGGCTTCACTAACCATACAGCTCTGTCCGCCCAGCCCATTTCCCGTTTACATAGTGCTTATTTCTCCCCAATTATCATACTGAAATTTTGTGTTGTTTTAACATTCCCGGTTTACAGACCGTTTATGTATTCAAGTTAATTGCAACACTAACTAATATTTTTAGACGACCACTTGCCTTGTATCCTTCAATTGTTTGTTGATGGCACAAAACATATTTGGTAACGAGATCTCTTTCACCTATTGAGTACTAAATTCTATCAATTTTAGTTCCTTCATCGCCACCTCCAATGGCTCAATCCATAGACAAATGGATGTACTATGCTTTCCATTTTGGGTCCATTTTTCCTCGGAACTGTACAGAGTTCACCCGGAGCTTCAGGTAAAAAATTTTTTGTTATACGTTATGTAAAAAGAATGTTTATTTCTGTAGATGAAAATTTTAGGCGGCGCTTGCTGGAGCGTCAATGGACTTATTGGCACAAATTGTAGTGTTACTTGCATGCCAGCGACGAACCACTGGAACGCCATTGAAGAAGCGGCAATCTTCAGCCCCAAGAATTATATGATTCCGGCGACTCTCATTCAGGAATGTCTCGAGGTAACATTTAAAAGATTAACTTTAATGAAATTAAATTTACAATTTGTAGGATCAATTGAAGAAAGAAGAAGAGGAGGAGATAAGAAAGAAGGAAGAGGGCTCTCTCGAGAGGAAAGCGGACTCTCCAGATGTTTTCTGTCTTGCTCAGAGGTTCCGTTACAATTAAGAAATAGCCTTTGGTCGCGATCGAATGGCCAATGATAGAAACGAATTTACTAAACAAACTTCTTGTGACATATTCCCCCTTGTTTTCGTATTCTTTAACTAATCTAATTTCATTTTTGTTGTATCAGATGTAAAAGTGTGAAGTACTGATATTGATGCCCTTATCGATGTATGATTTATGTAAATTGGTGGGCTTGTTAATAAAACTGTTCAATGGATTAAAGTGCGGCCGACGGTTTTACGGATTGTCCCGTATGATTTTGGGTAATATTGTTACTAAATTATGTGATTTTATCAATTTTTTAAATAGAAAATGCGCTTTAGTTGATTATGATATTGAATCTCTTTTAGGAAGAAGAAACTCGGAGAGTCGGGCAACGAGGAGGAAATGGGTGAAAAGAGAGGAGGAGAAAAAGAGGGTCTGATATTTTACGTTGTATACAAGTTGTAATTTTTTAGTTGGAGATCTCAAGAAGAAAGAGGGACCAACCTGTCTTGCACTAGTCGCTTATTTGAAGTTCTATGTAAGCTAGTCAGATATCTTTTTGTTGTGGTAAACCGAAAATCGTTTTGTTTTAGGTGGCCCTCACAATTTTCGTGTCGGGGTGTCGGTCGGAGTCAATTGTATGCCGGTGCTGTTGCTCGCCATTGATTGCCGTTCCCGGGCTCGTCTTTCTCTTCGAACGAATCGGAAGTTTGTGTTTGACTCTTTCTTCATGCGTCTTTAGGCGCCAAAAGTTTTTGTGCCATCCAAGGCGATCGCACTTGGAGTGCTCAGACTTATCCAGGTGATTATCATTGTTGTCATTATATTGAGTATTTCTTCAGGTGATGGTCGTTATTGTTTCGATCCGAGTGTTGCACCTTTGTCGGTTCAGTTTCCACTGAAAAATTTGATATTTTTTATTTTAGAGCAAAAAGAGAAAGGCAATCACTGAGCTTTCGCACACTCACCTCAAGACTGTTCCCATGGGTGTGTTTTCTTGTTATCGACATGCTTTCTTGTTTCTCGTGCATCTTCCTTTTTAGGACCCGGTCCCTCACAAGCAGAAAATGAAAGCGTTGGCCCGCCAATGAGCAACAATCAAGTGAACATCGGAAGCGGTGCATCAGAATCGATGGGTCCGCAGATCAACGACGGTCATCACTGTTGAAAGCCACCGCATCGAACAGTACTCTGGATACGGCATCTGGGTAAGGAACTAGTTATTTTTTAGCATTAATCTGAAGTTTTTATGTTGAAATTTAGACCATCAGCCCCCAAAACTGTGCCCACTGAGAGAAGCATCGAGGAAGGGAATGTGCCAAAGAAAACATAAAAAGAAACCCCACAAACAGAGAAAAAGGTAAAAGTTAATTAAAAATATATTTGGTCATTGTTGTTTTCCAGTCTCGACGCTATTCGACATCTAAGAAGGAACTTGACAACGTGCTGAGCAATCGCTCAAAGGACAAAAGCGAGACGATTGCTCGAGTGAGGCAGCTGCAAGGGGTAAAGCTGATTTCAGTTTAAGTCTAATGTGTTTTTCAGAATGCTACTGCAAAGTCAACGAGCACGCCGATTTTGTTGGAGAGTACCACCGATGCCTCAAAGTCGGAACAAACGGTGATTCTTTAGTCTGTTCGACTGAAAATGCTAGTTTTCTATTCTAATCGGTCATCATAATCTCATTTTAGTTTGTCTTTGTGCAAGGAAAAAGGTACGTTTTGTTCCATTGACAAATCTCGCTTGAGCAACGACAAGTCAACGACAGTCTTGCTGATGGCGGTAAAGGTTCCACCGGTAAGAAGGTCGGATTTTTTGGCGTCGAACAATGAGTGAAGCTTGACTGTTACAAGTCGTTGAACCCGAAGTCTAAGATAAAAAAAATTAGCAGAAGTCTTTTTGGTGTCCTTTGAAATATACAATTGCTAGATCCACACGACGACAGAATCATTTATGCAAATGGTTTCTCGGATGGTAGGATTTTTTTATTTTAAACTTAAATTTCTATTTTTAGGACCGCCGACATTACAACCCGAAATCATCTTCTCGAATGTATGCTTGTCACTTTGTTTCTTATACTTTTCAAAATTTAGAGCTCAAAGCACGCACAACAATTAGATCAAAGACCAATTTTGCTTTTGGATCGTCGTCCCATCAATCGCTAAAATTTTATCCATCTTTGTAAACCTTGTAAATTTTGTTACTTTTTTAAATTTCTTGAATAAAGTTTCCTAAAAAATTTGCTGGTTTCGAGAGTTTTGTTTCTAACAGCATATACACCCCATTGAATGTCCGTTAAACATCGTACCGTGTTGTGGTTTTGAATCGATTTTTAGACTTTCTGCATTAACGAGTTACTTTTATGAAAAATGAGTACTAAGTTTCTCCAATAGAGATTATTTCATCAATTTAGATGCATAAATCGGAGCTGAGCTATTGAGCAATGAGAGAGATCGCAAAGTATTTACAAAGAGATCATTCGAAAAGCTGAAAGGGAAAATGGGAGACTAAAGCCAACAGAGAAACCAAAATTTTGCAAACTGAAACGAAAGAAGTGAAGAAATTGGCGATGATTTGAAGGAAAATCGAGAAATCATTCCCTGGTCGGGAATTATTGCACTGGTTGGTGTCTAAAAGAAAAATGAATTAGACAATTCAAAAACCCTGTTGAGGCATTGTTCAATGATCAATGTTGTACAATTTATCCTCATTTTCCAATATAAAACTATCTATCTCAAAAACATTGCACTGCTTGGCTACTGTTAGCTCATCTCTTCAAGGGCATGGCTCACACTTATGAATGTACAAAGTTATCCATGGAGTTTGTGTTTTGAGGCGTGGCATTTGAAACAATATCTTCTTGTTCTTTACTATTTTAAATCTTCTGAAATAACGTAAGAAATTTGCAAATAATGGCAGAGTAATCCTGAAGCAAAAATTGATGAATTGAGCAAAACAAGATCAACATTTTTGAAATCACATTCAGAAAGGTCACGAATCACAACTGTAAATAAATTAAGAGGGGCTATCTAGGTATATAAAAACCAATAGAAGCAAAAACCAACCATGCAAGGAGCAAAAAATTAACGACAGTCTGGTGCTGATTGAAAGAGGGGAGTAAAATTGACGAGCGGAAACGTCACCGCCAATCCAACAAACGAGTCAATCTGGAAAAATATTCATTTCACAACTTGTCAAAAATTACCTCAATGAACACTCCACACCAGAACAATCGCTCTCCCTTCCGTGTGAGCATCCCTCAACAGTGATACGAATAATGTACGCCTCATGTTAAGCAAGGAATTGATCTAAATATTAATTATTTTCAGTTAACAACTTGAAAACAAACCTGATTTGTACGAAAAACGGCAGAAAAGATGTGAATGGTGAGACGATGTTTGACAGCGTTATTCCGAGACCATAGACCAACTTGAATCAAAATTAAATAGGCACGCTTAAAAACGTGATACCTGAGAATATGGAAGCGCCGCATAGCTGGGAATGATTCCATTCATCTGCGCACTCACAAGGGCGTCAAAGCTGAAATTGATTTGTCCAATCACATACAAGATTAATCCACCAGTAAGAGAAGCCAACAATCGAGCCTTCTTTCACTTCTTTGTGTACTAACGACTTGCCCTAATATTTTCATTCATAATCAATAAAACACAAATTACTTGATTGCCCCCTGTTTCCTCATCAAATTGATCTGGTCCCAGAACGCAGTGGTGTCTCTTCATCAGGTACTTCTACGGGATGTCTTCTCTCCAGGTAAAGGCCTTGCCGTCTTCCTAAATTGAATCGGATAAAATAAAACAACGTCAACAAACTTTTGTTTCTTATGAGCGCCTCTTCTATAAAGAATCACAAATGCGATTGATGCAAGAAGAGCCCAAAAAGCAATGATAAAAAAGAAGACTTCATGCTGAACCGTGGTGACTTGTAAATGGGGGCATATGCAATGTAATCGTAATTACTATTTCCTAAAAATAAATCTAAAACTTGTAAAAATAATTAACCAACCTTGAATCAATGAGAGGGAGCTGTGACCCATTCCAACACCACCCGGATAGCCGTAAAGATCCCTAGAAGCAAATACCTGAACTATGGCTGCAAGATACGAGGGAAGACTCCAAGCTTCTGGAAGAACGGCGGTTATTAGTGGAAGTTGCATCCATATCTAAAAAGAATATAGTCAACAGGTCTAACATGATAAAACTAACAAAAATAAATCTTTACGACAAAAGAGGCAACTTCTCTGCATAAGACTTGTTCAAAGGTTAACACCACCAGGTTATTACTTAGACAAAACCCTCACCGAATTTGTTCCCATCGATGCCGCGGAGCCAAAAAGCAATGACGAGGAGGAAAGTGACCGCATTTAGCGCCATGAATTCGTTGAAAGCTCGTCAACTATAGCTTCCTCTTTGTCTCGCGAGTGGTAATCAGAAAACAACGTTATTAGAGTGTGTTCCTCTCGACTAAGGCGCTTTCTAAAATGCAACCATTTGAGAAAAGTACCGTCGTCAAACCGTTAGTTTTCATCAGATCAATCCAATTTTTTCATCATTCAATGAACCTTCTGATTCTTCATCAAATGATACCAAAATTGAGGTGATCTGATGTAAATTGGCAGTTTGACTACGGTAGTTTTCTCAAGTAGGTGCATTTTAAAAAACGCGTTAGTCGAGAGGAACTATACATTTCGAGCGTCCCCCTTTTGCCCCCCTAAGTGTCTCCCTCAAAGTGTCCCCTTTTGTCCCCCTGAAGTGTCCCCCCCCCCTAGTATCCCCCTATTTTTTTTCATATCAAATCACAACTTTTTGCTCTCGAAGGAAAAGGAACGAAAAGACTTTCATGCGTTTAAGATGTTTCGAGTGGAAATCGACGAGGAAGTTTTTGGTGGTGGAGCGAGAAGGAGCTGAAGGGGAGGAAGAGCAAGAGAGTGACGAGAGGAACGACAAGCTGGAGGCAATAATGCATAAAAATATATTTGGTCATTGTTGTTTACCAGTCTCGACGCTACTCGACATCTAAGAAGGAACTTGACAACGTGCTGAACAATCACTCAATGGACAAACGCGAGACGATTGCTCGAGTGAGGCAGCTGCAAGGGGTAAAGCTGATGTCAGTTTAGGTCTAATGTGTTTTTCAGAATGTTTTTCAGAACTTTGAGGCATCGGTGGTACTCTCCAACAAAATCGGCGCGCTCGTTGACTTTGTAGTAGTACAAAGTCAACGAGCGCGCCGTTTTTGTTGGAGAGTACCACCGATGCCTCAAAGTTGGAACAAACGGTGATTCTTTAGTCTGTTCGACTCAAAATCCTAGTTTTCCATTCTAATCGGCCATTATAATCTCATTTTAGTTTGTCTTTGTGCAAGGACATGGAAAAGATACAAAAGTCGAAGTTGAAGACTCATAGAGGGAAATGGTTTAACAGAAAAGCAAAACGATAGAAAATTTTACTTATTGTTCTTTCGTGAACCTTTGATTTCTGTAAATTGATCAATGTTGTACCTCAGAAAATATCCTAAGCAATTTATCTTCATTTTCCAATTTTAGCCGGAATATTTTAATGCATTCTTCACTCGCTGTTGCCATTGTTTGATTACAGGTTCATTGCTACCAGCCATCTAAAGTCATTTCTTAACAGTTACCCAGATTGAACTCGGTACTTTTTCTTGTTACCCTCTGTGACGTCGCCTTCATTATTAGTGTTAGAAAGATCTTGATGTTTTTCTTGTTTACGATGTGTTATACATAGCTAAATTTATTCAAATAAATTTATGCACCACAAATAAATGTTGACCGTTTTATGCAATGAATTTGTAGTAACAGATAAATAAAATTTCTCAACTGCATCACGGTGAAACCTGAGACAAATGAATTCAGAAGTGAAAAAAATTTGAGATCAGAACGGAGAAGAGTGAAAAGCGAGACTAAAAGGCCAGTAGGAGCCAAATATCACAAAAAGAATCATTACATTTAGTAAATTAGCGCTTTCCAATACACCCGGGGACTATGGTTGATGAAGGTTCATAGAAAAACCATAAGCCGGTCCACCAACATAAACCTCCCCCTGCTTCTCAACAGAAGCTTTGATAGAAGCAGCTTTCTCCTTTGCCAATTCAAGCTAGAAATTATAAATTTAATTTCGATAATTAATTTTCTAAATATTACCACGATGGAATCTTGAATGTCAATTGCCGGAGATATATAATTCTTGGGACCGTAGATTGCCTCTTCTGAAATTGAGTCTGAGTGGGTCCTCTTTCGCACGGTAGTAACACCACAAATGATTCCAATAAGCCCCTTGGCGCTCCAGCATGCTCCCCCTAAAAATCTCCATACAGAAATAAGCATTTTTGAATCTTTTTCATTTGGGTTATACGACCAAAATATTTACCTGAATCTCCTCTCGAACCCTGTACAGTTCCCAAAACTAATGGACCCATGCGTGGCATCGAATTGTCACTGGGGCGGAAATAGTGGTTAACTGAGTCAACGATTCCGGTTTGATAGACTAATTGCCGTGTTCCATTGTTCATGTAGCCAAATCCAGCCAAGAGGAAGCTCTCAGATTCAACAGCTCGAACCAATCGCGGCGATTTCTAGAAAAATACTCGCTAAATAGGCATCATTTCGCAAATTTTACCGGGCCAATAGCCTTTTCGCTTCGGAGTACAATGAAGCCAAAGCGCTCTTCTATTTTCACGACGGTGACTTCGTACCCTTCATTACCGACGCCTTCATTAGTTTCACTCTTTGCAGGAAAGATTCGAAGAGCACTTCCGATTTGAAGTTGAAGGTGTCCCCCGTGACGTGTGACGAAATAGCGTGGATGGATGCACACCACCGTCGATTTTCCGGCCAGTAGATCGGAAGCATAGAACATCCACTTGTTTATGGTTTCGGGACGGACCTTCGGGACGGACCCTAAATTAGTGCAATTATTCACTAATCAAACCATCAAATCACACAATGTTTAAAACTCACCCTGGAAACAGGTCATCTTTCCAAAGCGAAACTGGCAATTCTTTATGAAGCTGAAATGGACGTCGCAGAGTGTATTCGTTGACTTGACCACATCGAAATTGGACTTTGACGGCTTTCTTATCTTTTCCCTGCACGATGATATACTATTGAGTTGGTGAATTGAAAACTGCGGGCTATTGTCATATGTGACAGTTTGAGCACTTTCTTCAAAAGAAATCCATTTGGGTGTCAATGGAAAAGTTATAGAGAATCAAAGATTAAGCTTATATCCAAATTTTCAGAACGATTCAAAAACTGGTTTTCAAGAAATGCCAAATTTACGAATTTTCACAAAACTTGCATTTTAAGCGAAACTACTAAGTGTATCTTTTTGAAAAATTGGCTGTAAGCCTAATTTTTGATTCTCTACAATTTTTCTATTGATAGCAAAATGGGTTTCTTCTGAAGAAAGTGCTCAAACTGGGACATCTCCAGTCCTCCATTTTTGAGTCTCACACTTGTCTCACACACAAACCAAAATCCTGCTACGAAAGAGGAATCCGCAAATTGCCTGTGAAATCGGCAGAAGTCCTCTATAATAATGGAAATTATTTGGAATGAATTTATGGTTTTATGTTGAATAAATTTTAGTTCAAACTCCGGCAGTTTCCAATTCACCAACTCAATAAAGTTGACGACTTTCTTATCTTTTCCATGCACGATGATATACTAAAATAAGATTATGAAAACCGATTAGGATAGAAAAAGGTAGGTTTTGTTCCATTGACAAATCTCGCTCGAGCAAAGACAAGTCAACGACAGTCTTGCTGACGGCGGCAGGTTCCACCGGTCAGAAGATCAAATTTCTTGGGGTCGAATCCTTCGTCGTTTTCCCTGTCGAACAATGAGTGAAGCTTGACTGTTACAAGTCGTTGAACCCTGAAATCTATAAAAAAATTAGCAGAAGTCTCTCAGAGTAAAAGATCTAGAAACAAAATTAAGGAAAGGACCGGTCGGAGAAGATGAAAAAGTGCCGATTGGTTTCAAGGAAAAATGAATGGCACAAAACACCTATCGATTTGCCTGGTCAAGGAGTTGTGTGGAAACGGATAGGATCATCTGAACTTTTGCTATTAAAATTATTAAATAAGAAACTAGGTATTAGGTATTAAAGAAACTGTAACACTCATGTGGACGCAAACTATTTCTTTCATTTAGTTGTAAGTGTGCGGTGTATGCATGTATGCACATCAAGACTTGAGAGCGGAGATGATAGGATGGATGGATCCACCCTGATCATCCACAGGGTTGCATCGTGTTGCAATGTGGGGATGCGCCTCTTCCCAAATGACTCTTTTCTTCCGACGAACGCTGTCCCCCACCCTTTCACCGGGACCTCGATGAGTCGGACCTTCCCTTTCCCACTCAAAAACATTGCACTGTTTGGCTACTGTTAGCTCATCTCTTCAAGGGCATGGCTCACACTTATGAATGTACAAAGTTATCCATGGGTTTTGTGTTTTGAGGCGTGACATTTGAAACAATATCTTCTTGTTCTTTACTATTTTAAATCTGCTGAAATAACGTAAGAAATTTGCAAATAATGGCAGAGTAATCCTATAGAAAACTAGAATTTGCATTGTAGATTTACCGATAAAAACATAGAGAAAATTGCTGAGATAACTTTTTACCCCCCCCCCCCCCTAGAGATTTGTCTAGGGGGGAAGGGGTAGAGAGTCGGATTTTGACGACTCTTCTCTTCTCCTCCATATCTCGACTTCCAATTGATTGATCAACTTCAGGTTGGTTTTAAAAGCGTCCCCATAAAATTTCGTTATAGAAAACCACAATTTACTTAGTACACTCTATGTTTTTATCGGTAAGTCGACAAAACAGATCAGATGTCAAACAGACTTTGACACAGATTTTCTCTATGTTTTTACACTAGAGTCTACTAAGTAAATTGTGGGTTTTTTTTGCTGATGTAATTATTATCAATGTCATCGAACGTGCAAATCATGCAACTTTTTTCTTTGGTGACAAGAAAATTATAAAACTATTCACTCCTTTTTTGTACATAACAAATGTACAGGTGATTTCCAATCAAACACGATTCTTTTGAAGCCAACAAATTCTGCTTTTTTTGATATAGATTTTTTTAACATAACAAAACCAGAACGAAAATTTGAAATACATAAATTTTTCTCACAAATATTAATAGACTGTTTATATTACTTACCTGAGATTTCACCGATAGCTCCACCCTCACCAAAACAGGTTAAACCACGAATTTTCATTGACAATTTCAATGAATTTCCTAGCGTACTTTTCTAAACACAAATAATCAAAATCGTTGA